TTAAATATGCTCCTTCTTGTTGGGTTTGACGGTGCATGCCTGGGATGGCAGTCTGAGATAAGAAGATACAAGTTCAAGGCCATCTGGACAACTTAATGAAACCCTGTCTCAAAATAAAATCTAAAAAATGGACTGGGAATGTAGATCAGTGACAGAGTACCCCTGGGTTCAATCCCCAGCAACCATAACTATAACAACAAAAGTTGTTTTCTTTAATCTGGGTCTTAATTCTTGCTATTGTGTAGTTTACAGTCTTGGGCAGCATGATTTATTATTAAATAAAATATATAGAACGTTATCTTTTAATATCATTATACAAATACATAGAATTTTTAATAAAGTCAGGTTATTAAAAAATTTTGCTTTCCTATAACCAGATGATTTTTTGCAGCTTTAAAAAATAAGCTGAAGCAAATTATTTTAAATATTGAGAAAATGAATAGTTTGATTCCACAATCTGATAGGAATTTCATGCTGATTTTAATTTATTGGGACAGAAACATTCATTATTCATTAAGTGGCACTGAAGAAAAGTTTGATGTTCATATTAACAATAGCCATTTAATTTCCATTGTCTTTTCTTAAGAACAATTTGATTAGTTCACAATTGACCGGAGTGTCATCATTCAAATGTATTCAAGATCTATGTCAAATGAGTCAAAGCAGTAAGAGTATAGTATAGCTATTCATTGACAAAATAAACACAATAATCTTAAACTACAGGTTACTAGAATTTAAGGTTAAAATGTTGATATCCTAAGGAAATAATTTCAGTCTATTTTAGAGGATAAACTACTAGACATTATTGAAATTTCATCCTTTCTACTCAACTACAATAAATACCAGAAATAAGATTTAGGATACAAAAAACAGAATATTTTGTTTTGTTTTAATGAACAGACCTTATAAAACATTCATAACACATTTACTATATTTTAAAATGAAACTATCAATAAAATAAATTCAATTTTAATGGCTGGTCTGTTGGCTAACATAATTTCTTATGACTCAATATTTCCTGCCATTCCTTCCATGTGTCAAATTAGCAAAGAGTTACTTTTTGGGGCTACTAGAAGCCTATTTAATATGTTGGAGTAATACAAAGAATACAAAAAAAAAAATGCCACCAAGGAAATTTACATCATTTAGTAAAGTTGTTAATTTCCTTAACTTAAGGGCAATAAAATTACACAATAATATATTCTTACTATAAGTTAGATTAAAATGTTAATCCCTCATATTTCAGTTCTTTATAATGTCAGGAAGCTAATGGTATGATATTGAAAAGCTGTCAAAATAAAGGAAAACAGTTCTTTCTCTTATAGGTGCCCCCCCATCCCCGTACCTTAGAAGATGAAGAATCACATTCCTGACATATCCATCCATAGCCTGTTTGTTTAGGAGACTTTTTCAAAGGAGGATCCAAACATCCAAAATGGTAACACAGTCTGCATTCATCACACCTGCAGGGTAAACAGATTTATGGGATATCTCAATAATACGAAAACCAACTGTTTCAAAGACAGAAAAATAAACTATTATATATACCAACTTTAACATTGTTAATTCTATCCTTTGCTCATTAGATTATTAAATTAATATACATGACAAAGGCAAACTAAACCTGAAATAAATGTTTTAGGAAAAATAGGCAACATTAATATAATTTACAAAACAAACATCATTCAGAACATTATGACAGCAGAAATGTTAAGAGCATATGAATAAATGTATATAAATTATAGGTGCTCAAAACTAACAATCATAACAATTTTTGTTTTGAACTTAAAATAATTCATCATTTGTCCATTAGATAGTTTAAAAAACATTTACTAATAAAAGATACATATAATTCAAGGTTATGAATTCAATAATACATTGTAATTACTTTTAGAACTCTACAGGCTGCGATCAATGCTACACAATTTACACCTCTTTTCTGATTCTCTGTTAAAGTGGACTGTAAATGAACCTTATAAAATTTATAGCATGCTAGCACAATCTACAACAAGTAAAAATAATCTTTATGGGTCAAATAATAGAATTTTTAAGTATACAAAGAAGAAAAAAAATCACTTTAAGAATTTAATATTATTCTCTCAAAATTATCTGTCACTTTTTCAGTACATTTGGTTTCTCAAAGTATTTACCTAGTACATTTTAAAACTTATTAACAAATGTTTTGATAGTGTCTTGTCACCTATGATGTACAAAATCTAAAAAAACTATCATACCTATTCTTCGTTTCAGACAATCTCATCCTGCTGACAATGAAGAAAAATCTGTATTATTTCAGTGTTTTGTAAGAATTTTGCATCAATTGGAATAACAAGACCAAAATTTAACAACAAATAACAAAGATGTATTCATCTTATAGAATGAATTACAGTCTTCATTTTCTTTGTGCTTTCTTTTAAAAATTGAAAAATAATACTTTGTCAACAAATCTGTCAGATTCTCTTTCTTATCTCTTCCTGATTTAAGAAATGAAAAGCCAGGGGATCCACAACTAAGAAACCAGGGGAAAGTTTTATAAAATATTTATGTCTTGAGTAAAGTACAAAATTACAAGGAGCTACTCTTAAAAACCAAAGAAGAAAAATAATTGACTTTAAGAAATCATCACAATAAAGGAAGCTATAAATCCCTAGTTTAAGTAAATATTTCATATCATGAAACACACACACACACACACACACACACACACACACACACAACTCCCAAAGACCCATTTGGGGAATCAAGAGTTTCAGAATAGGCAAGGAAGCTAGCTAAGTTATTTAGGTATAAAGAAGTTAAAAACAGATAACATCATAAATTTATACACTTTTTTCTCTGCATTTTCCTAATGAACAAAGTAAACATACATGTTTTTCTAAAACCTTTTAGAATCAAAATATGAACTTGAAAAAATATTTACTGTAATTCTAGCTAGAATAGATAAAAATCAAATAGTACTAAGTACTTTATTTACTATGCCAATATTACAAATAAACCATCCAACAATTAATTTAAAAGGAGTCAAATATGTCAAATAGCTGTTATTCTGGTATTAGAAAAAAAATAGTATACAGCTAACTTTGAATGTAAAATAAAGAGATTAAATGGCAAACCCACACAATTTCATGTTCTTTCTCAATATAACTTATTCATTTTTCAATAGCTAAACATTTCAATTACATTAAAAATATGGGTATAGAAATCTTCAGAGTATATATAAGTGTTTCTGAATTTATAAGGTTGAAATTTCTATACAACTGAGGTCAGAATGAATCAAACATGAAACTAACAGTTCACTAATCTTTGCTGGGAAATTTAAAGAGAAATCACAATTATTTTCATCATCAAGGGACTATATTAAATATGGTTCATCTCTATCATCTTAGGGGCATGAGTGTAAGTAACAAATGCTATCGCATTTCTAACTGTGTCAGCTTCTTATACTAAGAGTGAATACCATGACTTTGCTATCTTGTTTTAATTCTTATGTTCAACTTTTCCAGATCTTCAGGGTCCTCACTTGCTTGAAAACCATCAGGCCCTGGTTCCTATTATCACTGTATTTTTCTAAGCATAATTTTTCCCAAACTAACTTGTTGATTTGGGAACCAGACTACTAAAACTATTAAGACTACGAAAATGACAGTAACAAGATATCAAAGTGACAACTTCTACTGAATTAAGCACACATACTCAACTTTAGTTATTATCTATAGTCTTTTTTTCCTTAACTTCATGTTGCTGGGAAATGTTACATACAGTTCAGACTGATAAGAATCCTAGTTCTTGTCAGATGGGAAGTTACAGTATTAATACTGCCCTAGTTTACATCAAATTACAATCTAATTACTGCATATTTGCTTTAAAACTATCAATTTACAAGTTATTTCTAGTGCACAACTCAAGGCAAATATGTGGTGAATGTAAGAGGGAATCAGACAGGATTCATTATCTCCTTCATGTACAAAGGTTGTTTTTGTTGGCATAGCTATGAATTTCCACTTAAAAAATTAAGAACATTGATATGACTCCAATATGTCATTGGCTTCAATTACTTATAAAATCAGCTCGAGAACAAATAAAAAAAGGGAAAAGAAATGTTCTACATGTAAGCTCTGTCAGAAGGTAATCTGAAGTATATTCCATCTAAAAATGACCTAATCCTCATCAACTGATTCCTTTATTAGCAGAATGACTTGGTTGATATGTAGAACCTTATTGTATTTTCATGCTTCCAGAGAATTAAGGATGACAGGGAAGTACTCTAAAATTCTAGCTCACTCACCATAGTTGTAGTGTAAGTAAAAACTGCAACTCCAAGACTAAACAGTAAAAAAGAGTGGTTAATATTCTTAGTAACTCCCACAATCCAAGGAGGGGGCGAATAACCTAATCCTTAAGTCAACAGCTTTGTTGATAAGCAAATAAATATAGTAATATAAGCTCTTTGTAGAGATTTCTAAAATTATTTCAAGGCAGAAAAATTTTAGCTGTTTCTACCCTAGAATATTAAATTGAAAATAAAATCCATAGCTTTAAGTGCTGGGAACAATAATATTCTAAATTACAGAAGTGAACTTTAGCAGAATCTGTAAGAATTAATATACCATAGATATATAAATATAAGAGATACCATTAAGGACCCTAGAAATCAAAGAACAATGCAGATGATCAAAATAGTGGATTGTTTACTTCACACAAACATATACCACTCTGTAATCTTTATCAAATCTTGTTAGCTAACAAATTCTGGATATTCAAAAATTAGGTCAGTTTAAAAGCTTAAAAACTAGAATTCTTACATACGAATCTGTAATAATCTACTTAAAAGCTGTAACAGAATTAAAGTAGTTATTGTTCAATTTTACTTATGGTCTCTACTTCTAAAATATATTTGAAAACACATTAACTGTAGCATATACTATAGCATGTATTTATCAAAACAGTAAATAAAGCCTTTTTAAAAGTCTGCAAGGATTCATTGACCCACAAAAGCATAGTTATAGAGCACAATATACTTTATTAAACAACACAATGTCTATATGATAAAAAATGATTATAATATACCAATAGCACATTATGAAATAGGAAGAGAATGTCTTAACATACTAAAAGAGAATATAAAACTAACCTATAGAAAAACTCTGGATTTTCTAAATAAAATGCAAACTGGACACTTTAAGAACAATCTTTAAAGCCTCTAGTGCATACTGTGCACATTAACACTATGGGACATTCTAAAATTAAAATTTTAAATGTAGTAAAATGAATTCCACTTACAAGATAAAATAAAACTGGATTTTTAATTTGATTTTTAATAAAGACAACTTCCTAATATTAGATTTATATTGGCTTTAGACATAAATAATACAGCAGCTTCATATGATCTGTTACACACTGATTCAACAAAAAGCAGTGACCAAATAAACATTGTTTTACATGTATTTAAAATACTTACTTAGCATATGAATAAGATAGCACCCTAGACAAAGAAGAGGAAGAAAGTGATTTATCTTCATATGTGCTATGTATGGTCCACACGGTTAATTAATCAGATACTTACTGACTACTGACAATACACAAAAAGTGAAAAGAAAGAAGTGATTTACTTCTTTCCTTGCCTAGGATATAGGCTATTGGCCAGTCTTTGAAAGGGTTTAATTCCCTTTACTTCCATTTGGTAAGTTCATTAGGGAAGTAAACTAAGTAATAACTTTTCAAAAACTAAAACAAGTGTACCTTCTATGCAAACAATTTATAGCTACATGATAAGCTAAATTTCAAGAAGAAACAAAATCCATAGTACAATCTTAAAAAGAGATGTGCATTTCTTATGATCAAGCTCATCTTGATAATCATAGCTATTTTTTCACATCAATGGAACATTTTATTTAGTCTATATAAAGCTAAAGAAAAAAACAATGCTGAAAATGGACACTATTACACCTGTTCACTTAAAAAAAAATCAAGAGAATTGATGAATTGAATTTTCTGATTTTTTTCATTATGTCTATGTAAAAGTTCATACAAGAAAAATTTTAAACATTTGTCTTAGATATTAGCATTACTTAAATAAAAACCTCTTTAGCAGCTCAAACACACAAATCTATTAACCAGTAGTGATAGATTTCTTCATTGAACAGTGACCAATTATCTCTACTACACATTTTAATAAATGCAGAACAAATGTATTGTGGCCCATTAAATCACTTTTAAAACAATATAGACTTGGAACAAAATTCTCCAGTATAGAATAACAATATCAGAATAACATTTAATATCAATAAATACAATATTTTATTCCTTATAACTTACTATTTTAGTGCAAATCACCTAATTTTATAATTATATAAAATAATTGGAAACTGTCTTTTTAGTAATATTTCACAAATAACAAACTAATGTGTAAGAATTAAACCTATTTAATTAATTCCACTAGAGACTTCTATCATAGACAATAATGAATGAATGGGTAGTAAGAAAATATAAAGAAAATATTCTTGACACATAAAAGTTAATTCATTGAAATAGTATTTGGAAAATTATCCAAATCAAAATCCTTATTTTATAGCTAAATAATGGTACCAATTCACTTAGTGAAATGTGTACTAGCCAGGTTACAAGATTAAAAATGAAATGAAAAAAAAAACATGAAACACAACAATTGATATAAAAATATGCAATAAGGTCAAGTATCTTTTCATAGCACAAGAGAATGATTACACATTTCCATACCTGAAATGTCTGCTTTGTTCTTTAATAAACTGATCTCCATCTGCTCATGCCCTTGGAAAATTTTTAGCAGTTCAACCTGCTGTGTAAAAGCTCCATATAACTTTGTATTTCACTGTTTATAATTAACTAATTATGCTCTAATCAATAGTGTAGATCCTGGTTTTACAATGTAAATCAGATAAATGAGATAATAGCTAGGGGTCAATCTCATTTTATTTACAAAGCCCAGCCTGAGCATCCAATTTCATTAAATCTTATGTACCTGAACAGCAGTGAATCTTATTGGCAGGCCTAACACAAACACCTTAAAGTGAGCACTAAGAGAAAGAGGCCTACAGTTTTAGAAGGAAGTATTTGTACAGCATACCCATCTCAGATCACAATCCTTAATGGTATAAATTTACAAAGTGCTGAGTCAGGTGGGTAGGAAAAAATTCTGCCTCCATAAAACATGTAATTCTAAGTTGTCTCAAGTTTCAATTGTCAAAAACAATTTCACAAAATTTAAAAATCTTTTGAAGAATGTAAACACTCTGCTACAAAGGCCTTCTGAATTTCTTGAATAGATTTTGGTGAAACACTCATGAAATAGTCTCATGTTGTGAATTAAGTAAAAAACACTGGTGAATTTCATCAAAGAAAAACTTTAAATATTTAAAGAATGGTTTTTTTAAGTAATAGGATATAAAACAGGGATATGAAATAATGAAAGTAAGTATTATCTATTGTTCAGCAATCATAATATCATAAATATAAAATTCAATAACATACAAATGACAATAATAATTAAATGAAGAATAAATATGATTTCTAAACTTAGAAGGCTAAATTTTGTTTTGTGTTTAAACATAATCCTAATTTCAAATTTTTTTTTAAACTGAAAAGAATTAGTAATTGTGAAAAAAAGTTCCTTCATTCCTTGTGTATAAAACAGTGCTGTTTCCAGTGTATAATAAACATTTAAAGCCATAATTAATCAATGTTGAGCACAACATAATGATTTTTAAAAAATGTATGACTGGTTCTCAAAGTGGTGTCCCTGACAAGTTAAAATCACCATCACCTGGGAACTTGTTACAAATTTGAGTTTTCAGGCCTAATACCAAATCTACTTAGAAACTCCAGGGAGACAGAGAAAAGAGTAGGTGGAGAGAGAAGGCCAAGAGGAGAAAAAAGGAACCAACTGAGTTCCAACAAATCCTTCTTGATACTGATGCATGATAACAAAGTCTGAGAAGCACTAGTATTAATTACTAAGCATTCTTGTGTTTCAGAACATTTATTTTCTTCCCAATATTTCAGTGCTTCTTTCTTTCGATATTCTGTGGCAAATAATGGTCATTTACCTGATTGCTCACTTTCTCTAACATATATTAGTGAAAGATTAACCATTAATACTCAATAACATTAAATTTTTTCTTTGAACTGCAATTGGACCATTTACAGAGAGGGGTTAATTTTGTACTACAAATATATGAATGTTTAAGAGATTATTATGAGAAAATATTTTTCCACTACCTTTCAAAGTTCTTCTACACTTTTATACAACCTCTCATATTATGTATTATGTAGCTTATATTTGTAACATGATGAAGTTCTTAGGGTTAACATCAAACATAGAAAAGAATATCTATTATTGAAAATTGCAAGATGAAGAATGACAATTTCAGAGTATTTTAATTAAAACTAAAGTGAAAGGAATTTTGATTAACAGTGACACCAAAACCACAACAAGTAATGATTTCTCAAAAAATAAGCAAATAAATAATCAAAATAATCATTAGTATTAGCTTACCATATTTTAAAAGACAGCAAGGGCCAAATATATTAGCATAGTTCATTTAGAACATGGTAATCTTTCCTGTTTCGTAAAATCAGATGGAAGTCAGCAATAGTAATAATTACCAACTTTTTCTTAAACTTAAGTAAAGTGATAGTCTTTTCTTATTCTTAAATGAAAAAAAAAAAGGCCTATGCGTTTTTCAAAAGATTATTAACATTTCCTTCAATGTTATGAGGTCTTTCAATATAATCTGTTTATATATAATTTCATACACATTTTATTTTTATTTAACATTTTATCCAATCATGATTCCTATAACTATAAATTACTAGCATATAGCAACTTTATACTTACACTTGGATTGGAATATCTATAACACTGCCTATTCTACTCCTAAAGTTTAAACTATTTTCCTTTGCCACTATACCAGAAAAGAAGTCCAAAATCACATTTATATATCAGAAAATTCCAAGAGATACGTTGACAATTTATGTGTATATGTGCATTTCAATTTCAGCAAAAGTCTCTTCTAATTCAGTTCAAGATTGAGTGGTGGGATATTCAACATATTTCTGTCGTTGGCTTAAAACTGGATCATTAAAAGTTGAAGATCAAATTTTAAATCTGTAAACCTCTGGAAAGATACAGTTGTTGAAGATCTTTCAGCTGGCAGGTTGTACAGTCAACAAGCTTTGTATTTCCCTCCTTATTTCATAATGTCACATTAAAGGTTGAAAAATATTAAGTTATCCTGAACACAGAAAGTTCATATAAAACAATAAGGACCAATTAAATTTGGGTATTTCAAAAAATTACCTATAGACCCACAGACATATTTTTGTTCATGAGCTTAAAATCTAAAATTGTAAAAATTCATGCTAATAATATTAGTACTTTCACACTAGGACTAATGAGTCAAAAATAGAATGTCATATGCCTCACAAGTCTTTCACTTTTGCTGAATATTATAAATAGAAATAATGTTTAATATAAGAGTCTATAGTTGTTCCCCAATGCAACAGTATTTTGCAAATGAATATATGTATTAGATTGGATGAAGCAGATTAGCAGACTAATGGAAAGCATTGTCTTTCTTGCTTGTTATTGGTATTGTTCAACAACAGGGAGAACATATTGCATTTAAGTTCCACAGGCTTCTGTAACTCTTCAGTGAGTCCAAACACTGTGTATCATCATTTGCCAAAGAAGCAAGAGGGAAAGACATTTACTTAATAGGACAATTCTGACAAGACATTTATCCAATATTTTTCAACAATGCACATATCGAATATTTCTGATTAGTGCAAAAAAAGAGAAAAAGAGAGAGAGAGAGAGAGAAAGAGAAAAGGAAAAAAATCCACACAAGCAAATTAACTGCCTTGTCAGTCCAAGTAACAAACCAATCAATTACATTCTATTCAAACCTGACAAGCAAAGGCAACTTTTTGCAGTGATAAGCTTATGGAAAGGACAAGATAGCTGTTCTCCTTTATTTTATGTACTCTATTGAGAGTTTTATCCACATTTTTAAAATCACACTTATAAAAGAGGTTTCCAGGATTGCCTCCGAGGATGAGCTGTGGCAGAGTTGGGTCTCATGAAGGGTATCTACACAGTAAAGTGATAAGAAAAGAACATTAACATTTAAAGATCATAGCAGCTCTGTACTACGTCTTAAGAAACATACTAATAACACCATAGTAGATTCAAATAACATATGATCTGATCCAAAGATATAGATAACCTAAACCTAAATGCCATGATCTTGTGTAAGTTCTCATTGGTTATAACTGAACTTTTTTATCTTTGGAAACAATGAGTTGCCTCCTCTTGTATTATTATTATTTTTTATTTTCAAAATAAACCTATTTTACTAAAATTTAAAAAGTGGAAAAAGATGAAGTACTTGTATTTATAAAAAGAAATATATATTTGATCAATAAGTTTTTTTGACAAATATCAGTTTGCTATTATTTTCACCCAACACAGCAATTTTAACAATGCCTGAGAAAGCATGCAATTGTGTTGAAAACAAATAAACCTAATCAGTATGTTACTGGCCTAGTTATACTGAAGTAGTCTTAGGGAGGAAATTTTCAAAGTGATTTTTATCCCCTATGTCTACACTGCCTTCTTTTCTAAGACTTTATTAGAAATACTGGGCTACCATTATTTACTACCTTTGTGTTTTTATATTCAGAGGAGAAATTATAAGAACTTAGTGATCAGAATTAACATTTTTTGACTGTGGTAAATATAAGAATTTGTCATTTCTTTCATATATTTAGATCTGTGTACATGAGGTGAAATTGCCGAGTAGTCAAATCATAGAAAAAGGTTCCTTTTTTTTTATATTTAACTATTAGAAAGATGTGTTTAATGCTTCTAAGTTCTGCTGAGAAAAAGAAAGTGAAAAGTGGCACACAGACAAAAAAAGCACTACTGAGGAGAGCTACCACGCTAAACAGAATAACCTCCAAAGAAAGTGAAAACAAAACTGTATAAGAAAAAAGAATATAATGTGAAACACAGTTTTCAAAGAAATCCTGTATTTATCAACGTATGAGAAATAACAGAAAGAACTGTAACTTTTCTCATTGCTTCAGTCTCTAAGCAAAAAGCTTTGAGCACATTCTTAATCTGATATTTTGACAAGTGATTTTCTGAAGGTTAAGCACCACTGGAAAAGCATAATGCAAGAGGAAGCAACCATATCATTAATAACAGAAGTGCAATTAACTCTTAATTACATGCACAAATAATGGAGAGGAGCAGACAACTGAAAAATTTTATTTATATTTGACTTTCATTTAAAGTTTAATATAGAGACATTAGATATTGTGGAAATGCAAATCTGCTTTAAACCTCAGTTAAATCCAAGGTGAAGTTTGAGAAAACTAAAGAGCTATTGCTAATGCTATTCCATCTTAAATTTCAATTAATATTCCAAGTCTTTCTTAATGTCAAGATAAGTGGTGTGACTTGTCTTGGCTCCTATTTTCTGAGGACAAAAGATGGTGCAATATTTTAAATAAAAAATGAAGTTAGCTTTGTATTTATTTCAAATGCACCTAATAATAAGCTAACTTTAAAAAATACTGTAGAAAAAAAGACAAATACTTCCAAAGCACTTCAGTAATGCTCACACCAGTAACTATCAATGAATTCTTCACCTGCGTAGCTGGAATTGCAGGCCAAGAGGAAAATTCCAGCTATTTACTACTTTTGCCCCAAGAAAGTCAAATGTGTCAAAGTAGCATAGTAATGAGGAAGCATACTTAATCACTGTATGAGCTCTACAGTCAAGATAGCCTAGATTTCATCTGCAGTTCTATCACATTCTAGTTGTGAAAATCTTTTTCTTTTCCTTACCCATAAAATATAAATTAATCAGTATCTATCTCTTACAAGTTTTTTTTTAATATGCAACATTACAGGGTTGTTGTGAAGATTAAATGAGATAAAAAATGAAATGCACTGATATAATGACTGGAATATAAGAAGCCCTCAATAAATCTTGACAACTAATGTGAAGGCCAGTAGCTTTGTCAAACAATATCGTAGTCTTTTTGTGACAGGAAAGAAATTGCATTTTAATATATTAAAAACTTGTGTAATGTGATTTTAATATATAATTGGAATAATTTCTATTGCTTAATAACTCTATACCTCCGTTACCTTATATCTAAAATGGAGATATGCATACCTAATTGCACTGTTGACAAGAATGAAATGAAATAATATATTTGGAGAGTCTGAAACCTACTGACAATCTAATATTAACATTATTATAATGTCAGTCCAAAAATAACATTTCTCTGTGGTTCAATTACAATTGTTAAAAAAAATACAGATTTTTATACATTATTCCCTAGATAACCAAAATCATCATCAACTCCAAAATTTGTATCCAATTTTATTTACAAATACATTTTACCTCATTTCATTAACATTGTTTATTTCATAAGTCCAAACCAATACAAAACCAATATAAATCAAAAACTTGTTATAAGATAAAATAAGATGCTTAATTTAAAAAAAAATGAAAGAAAGAAAAACCAGAAGACAATATACTTGTCTTCTAGTACTAAAAGTTCGATTATCCTTGTTTTGTGTAACTCCAAGGGTTGAAATTTTTAAGGGAAACTATTAGCTTACTTGGAAAAAGAAACACATTTTTGAACAAAACTGCCTCCAATGGAAAGGGACTCGATATTCTGCCTCCAACATAAGTTTGTCCCTTCTGGCTTAGTAGGGACGACAGGAAGACAATTCAAGCATCAGATGAATGGTGAGATTACACACTTTGGTTTCCTTTTCACAACTGTGTATTGTTTGTTTTGGAGTCTCTTGAGTTATAAAAGTTATAAAATTTAAGAAAAAATGAGGCTCAATATCTTCGTTTTATAGATGAGAAAACAACTTTAGAAGTCACTTAATTCAAGGTCCACTACTTCACTAGTGAGTAAAGTAGTTCACTAATTTAGGCAAGAAATAATCTTTTTTTTTTTTGTATAAGCTAACAATATTAACACACTGCAATGAAAAATAGAAAAAAAATTTTTTCAAAAATAAACCTTAATAAAAAATAAATGAGTGAAACAAGAAAGATTTCATTTCACATATACTTAAACTTATTTTTATGTACTCTAAAACTGAATAACCCAGAAATACCACACTTCACTATGTAATGTATATCAACTTCATGCTTCTGTTCTTTAAATATATATTATGTGTCTATACTACATTTATTTAAAAAATAAAGAGAAATTTTAAAAATTCAAATATTAATAGCACATAACAAAAATATTTACAAATCATACAAAGTTACTTAAAGGCTTAATATTTTAAAGTAGAATTTAAAATTAAAAATGTCACACAGTAACTAGTACATACATGAGGCAGATTAGACATTCCACATATCACAAAATCATCAAATCAACTTAATGATAGGAGAAAAATATACAAAAAAAGCATTTTAATTTTTATTTTTATGATTCCTTTCAGTTATATAGGACAATAGGATTTGTTTTGACATAATTATAAAAGCATCAAATATAATTTGTTCTAATTCTGTCCCCAGTACTTTTCCTTTCCCTCCCTCCCTCCCTCCCTCCCTCTTCTTGTTCCCTTTCCTCTTCTTTTCTGATTTTTTTTTATTTTCTTTCAGTTTTTTTTTTTTTTTTAATTAGTGTCTTACGGATGTATTTGATGGCGAAATTCACTGTGGTCTATTCATAAGTGTACATAGGAAAGTTAGGTCAGATTTATTCCACTGTCATTCCCTATCCCATGCCTCCTCCCTTCCCTTCATTCCCATTTGTCTACTCCAGTGATCTTCTATTTTTTTAGCCCCTCCACTTTGGATTAGCATTCACATATCAGAGAAAACATTCAACCTTTGACTTTTTGGGGACTGGCTTATTTCACTTAGCATGATAGTCTCCACTCCATCCATTTACTGTGGAATGTCACTCATTCATGGATGACTAATTATGGCTGAGTAAAACTCCACTGTATATATTATGGCTGAGTAATACTCCACTATATAAAATCCAAGTTTTATCAAAATATAATTTTAATAAGAAAAAGTGGCAGTTGGGCTACATTATCTAAATATGAGTATTGTGAAAACTAAATATCTCTTCTTCAATCTTTACTAATAGAATGATTCCTTACAAAGCACTTTTAACCCCCCCCCCCACCCAACAACAACAACAACCAAAAAAACCAGCCAGGACAATGCAGTGACTCTCATCTCAAAAAAAAAGTAACCAGAAAAAAACACTTTAAAGTTTCATTCACGGAAAACCAGGTGTTTTCGAATTTCTTTTTTATAATATAATCTTTTTATAATAAGCAACTAAGCACCATTTCAATTTTGCAGATATTTAGCTTAAATCACTTTTCATAAAACAAGGTCTACGGAAAAAGGAAACGCTCTTGGTAGAAGATGTCTGAATAACTTTTAAGAACAATGATACAAAGCAATATAACTTTAAATTTTATGCTCTGTGCTACAAAGCCTCTGTTGCACAAAATAGTGCAGTCAACATTAAAGACAGCCCTAGAATAATGGATTTTACATAATGAAGTGCAGAACAACAGGTCACAGGGGGAGTTAGGAAGGGGAGAAAAGGACCTGGACACCAGTGAAGATGTAGCAGACTTTCTTCAGATTGGAGTTCAAGTTCTGCTATTTAATTAGGTAAGAGACAGACCGAGAGATTGGATGAATACATACAGTAGAACCACGGAACTTAATGACAAACTAGAAATAAACATAAAAAGCAGCAGTAATGAAAAGCAGCTGAGGCAGCGGATTAATGTAGTGGAGAATGAAGACTGGCCATTGAGAAAGGTCTCAAAGAAACCAGAAAAATGGGAAAGGGAGAGAATGAATATCAAGAAATGTTATAGTGGAAACTTACTGCCCAAATATCTCTATGATTCTAGGTGACCTAAACTTTATCTTTATATTTTTGTATTTTTTGTAGGTATATTTTTATAGTGAACAAAACTTGAAAAAAAAAACTAAATTTCTACTCACTGTCCTTTAGATATTTTTAAAACTAAGACTTTATCTTTAGGATAATTTTAGATTTATG